GGACATGACTGATGAACAGAGGAAATGTTATTTTAGTGCCAGGAATGTCTGTCTTGTTTATTCTGGACCCTATTTGGAAATTGGCATCTTTTGAAATTTGTGTGAAACTGGCAAAAAATCCAATTTCAGACCACTTTATTGGATAGTTGAAATCGGTAAATGGGTGGTTTCTTGTACTTATTCGACAGAAAAAATAGAGTTCTAGTGAAATAGGTATGATTTTTGCCAACTGGTACATTGGAATTGGCCAAAAATAGGGCTCAAAGTGGGCGAAATCGCCGATGCATAAACACAGTCGAGACCGCTAACTTCGCGAGAGCATAATTCCATAAGTTTTCCATCAAATTTCATACTTTTGGTGTCATTATGATTGGGAAAAGATTCTCTATCATTTCATAAGAAAAAATTATTTTATTTTTTGAAAAATTTCTGACCCTGAGAACATGTTTAGGAGAGGGCTTGCCGACCCTGAAAGGGTTAATATACATATTAAATAAAGATCTGAAAGAAGCGTCAAAAGTCATTATTTCCCTTCTGTTACGACATAAAGCCAGTAGTTGTAACACCGTATAAGTGGGGCCCTACTGTATATATAAAAAAATGTTCAATTCGAACCAACTATGATATTTATGTCTAGTATTAGGTAGTCTATGATATATAGGTCTATTATTAACCATTTCAGAGTTTCTGACATACTAGTATGGCTTACACGCCATGGTTATTGATGTACTAGTATGCGTAAATTCTAGTGCCTTCAAATCAAGCGGGAAAAGGTTGGAAGGCCTAGATGTAAGAGAATGGGTGTGTGTAGTCGGTGTGCACGGTAGAAAAAAATCTGGTACCCAGTGGTGCACTGTGGGAATGCCATTTTAGTACACCTTGTTCACCATGCCTCACAGTAAGAAACCCCTCACTCCTCGGCGAACTGGGACACTTTTGTTCCCCAATGACAGTTCTAATACAAATGGAAGTGCCAGTGAAGATGAGTTTCAAGGTTTTGATAAGGTTGTGACCGAAACTAATGACCATAATACCGGTAATAGTGAGGAAAACCCAGACGACCCTCAGCCTCTCACCTCTGCTGCTGGGCCATCTTGTTCACATTCAGTTATACCAGAACAAAAGAGGAAACTCCTATTTTCCCATATCCCAGACTCAGATGCAAGCATTGGTAATGATAGTGATAGTGAATATGAACTACAAGCTCTTGAAAACAGTTCCAGTTGCAATAGTGAAGTGGAATATTCTCCAGTGAAGCGTCAGTATATACAACAGTATATGCGCTGTGGTAGTGTGTCATATGCTATTCCAAGGGGAAGGAGTACATCTCCGAGTATATCCCATGGCTGTACAACAGGAACAGATAGTGAAAATGAAGATGATAGTGTTGCAATTGGGATGGAAAATGTGCATGGTGGTGGTAGTGGTGGTGCCAGCTGTGAGGCACCAGCAGTGGGCCATGCTGCCACCCACGCCGCTGCCTCAGCTGATCTACAACAAAGGCCACCATCCCCCACCCACCCACCACACCAGCCTCCACAACCACAACTTCTACAACCACAAACTCCACAATCACAACCACCTGTCAATATCCAGTACCCACCAGCAGACTGCATCTGGGATTGGCAGGAAGCTGACAATTTTGTTCCCAATCCCCATCAGTTTGATGAAAGTCAAGGTGGAATACGGCCATCTTTTACACTTGGGAACAATGCCACTGAACTAGAATGTTTCGAGTTACTCTTTGACGAACCCCCGATGGAACTTATTGTCAGGGAAACCAACACATACTTCGATTACACCATGGCAAACACAATACTTTCACCAAAATCATGCCTACACCAGTGGAAGGAGACAACTGTGGCTGAGACGTATCTTTTCTTTGCCACAATAATGCTTATGCCACATGTGCATAAGCACAGTGTTAAATCATAATGATCAACAGACAGCCTGATTGCAACCCCAGGATTCAGTGATATAATGCAAGTGAATCACTTTCTGCTACTATTACGTGCTTCACCTCTCAGACAAAACCAGGCCTGACAGAAACGACAGGTTATATAAGATTAGGAATGTGTTTGTGTATCTGAAAGAGAAATTCAGTATGTATTTTTATCCCTTCAGGAAGCTTGTTATTGATGAGTCTTTGATTCTGTTCAAAGGAAGACTCTCATTCAAGCAGTATATACCAAGCAAGAGGAAATGCTTTGGTATAAAGTTATTTGTGCTTTGTGACTGCTACAGTGATCTTGTATTGGATATTATTGTGTACACTGGACGTTACAATTGCAAAATACCAGGAAGTTATTGGACATCTCTGGTGATGTGGTTAGAACAATGATGGAACCATAAATTGGTAAGGAGTATATATTATATACTGATAACTGGTACACAAGCCCCTCACTCAATGATTTTTTGCGAGTGAACATGACAAATGTGTGTGGTAGTGCATGCAAATCGTAAGCATATGCCCAGGTTTGATGCTGGCACTCATAGAGGTGAGGTGCAGTCATTTGCTGCCAATGACATCATGGCATTTCGGTGGCATGACAAATGAGATGTCACACTGTTGTCATCAGTTCACCCTATCGAAATGACATACACTGGCAGGCAGAATAGAGAGACCAATGAACCCATTCTAAAGCCTGCAGCTGTGATTGATTACACCTTCAATATGCATTCAGTGGACAAATGTGACATGCAGATTGGGTTTGCTGATTGTGTTCGCAAGAGTCATAAGTAGTACATAAAACTCTTTTTCCATCTTCTGGACATTTCTATGCTCATTGCTTATAATATGTATAAGATGAGGACCAGAAACAAAACACTATATGGCGAATTTTGTTTGTCTGTCATCAGACAAACAGTATTCAAGTACCAAGGAACAACACCTGCAATAGAAAACCGCCCACTAAATTATCAACCACTACTTTCTCGTCTGAAGCATGGTGATCACTTCCTAATACAACTGCCTGCTACTGCTTTCAAGAAAAAGGCTCAGAAGAGGTGTTACGTCAGTGCACATACACAAAATTGCCCACAACAACGCAGAAACACTCGTTTTATGTGTGAGGAGTGTAAAACACCATTGTGCATGACACCATGTTTCAAAGAGTTCCACAGGCTGGAGAACTTCTAGAAACATGTCCTGTGACTGTATATGTGTATATAAAATATAGAAAAATAGTAATAAACAACATTTTATATTGTTCGTTTGTGTAAACAAGTTTTGTAAACAATATAGTAACAACAGTGTTTGTGCAGTTATTGTGTAGTAAATAAAGAGAAAAACTTACAAAATAGTGCTCATATTGGTCTCACAGGCCATAAAAGTTACTTGAAAAAAAAATTAAAAAATAATAGAAAAAAGTAGAAAAAAGTAATAAAAAAATACCAGGTGACCGGCAGTCGGCGATGATGCCACATGTGGCTCATTTTCTGTCAACTTCACGCTTCCATATCTCAGTAAGTATTGACGGCAAAAAAATTTTTTTTTAGCCTATAATGTTTAGAAAAAAACTATCTTTTCATAAGAAAAAATAATTTTTTTTTTTTTGTGAAAATTTCTTGACCTTGAGAACGAGTCTGGGAGAGGGCCTGTTGACCCTGAAAGGGTTAAGTAGTTCGTAAAGCATTAGGTTTAGTCTGCCCAAACTGCCTCAGCATGATAGTGGCTTTCTATGTGCTTAGCAAATCAATATTGCAATTACACATTGTAAACTATGCAAAGAAATAAACTCCTTAATCCTTAATAAGCCACAAATGGGAGACAGTGATGACCCTTGTAGTAGCCATACCGAGTGAAGGCTCCCTCACAACCAGAGTGGCAGTAAGGAACCTTGGTACTCAAACAGCTCCTTACCTGAACAATTTGGTATTCGAACACTTTGTTCGGTAAAAAAATCGCTTAGTAGTCGACCATTTGCTCGGCACTCAACCAAACAAACACAACCTGCCAGAACATTGCTGTAATCTATTCTGTGTTTCTTCTCAATTTTTGGTGTTTTTTATAATATTTGTATAAATAAGTCACCATGGGGCCTATGAAGATTAGTGATAACAGCCAACCAAAAAGAAAATTGGTTAGGAAAAATTTGTTTGGCACTCAAAAAGATCGGCACTCAAAGAGCCTTTTGGAACGAATTAAGTTCGAGCGCCAAGATTCCACTGTAATTACATCAACAATGTTTATTTAGGTGTTTAATATGGCCCTTTAATGGGGTTAAATTACCATAATAGTGCTTAATGTGGACAAATACCATGACCTGAGGAATAGTAAAAAATGTGAAGGTGTCAGTTTTTGACCACAGAAAAGACCTGCCCGTGGATTTACCAAACATGAGACTGAAAACACAAAAATCTTTGAATTTCCACACCTCCCAGGAAATTACCACTTCTATTTCCATTTTATTTAATTCTACTGAGGCCTCATGAGGTATAAGTTTAATGGAGGGCAACCTGGAAAGTAAATTTCAAGGCAGAACATCATCTGCTAAATAAGGCGAGCCTAGGGTATACTGCATGCCCGTACCTCTTCAATTTATGTTATTGCCTTTATAATAATTGTTATTAATCAGTGTTTATTATAAGATAGGACAGTAAATGGTCGACATGCTAATGATCACCATTGAATGTCAGTGCTATTCATAAATCAGAGGATCTACACTCCTCCTATTAATTAATTGTAAGTCCATCAGGGAAGTGGGGATATGCCATGATCAGGGCAGTGAAGGATATAGTTGAATGCAGACCAACTATATGCAAGTCTCTTAAGGATATGGTATAATTAATTCATATATTCTCATATAATTACCCATACCAACAGCACTAAACCCATACAGGTCACACAATGCCTGGAAACGAGGAGGCAATCAGGTTTAATTCAAGAAAGGGAAAGGATAGCTCCAATGTCTTGGATCAAGAGTCATTCACCAGGATCAAGGCATTATTGAAGGTATCAAACATGTAGAGGGTTATTTGTGTATCAAAGATGTATTTACCTCTGTCAAGTTTGTCAGGTCAATAACATGAAGGTCGATTCCTTCTGCAATACGTGGAGGACTGAGTGGGCTATCAATGACACAATTGGCTTGCCATGGCCTACTGTTGACATAGAGGTACCTGATGAGTAAAAAAGAGATGGGAAGACCCATGAAAACTAAATATTTCTAAGGTTAAGGCAATACTTAAAAAGATAATACCACTGATATGTGATAATAATACACTAGACTATAAATTTAAAAAGATTAGTATTAACCTTGAAAACCATATCTGAAATTCTATGATCCGAAAAGCTGTCTCGAAACTGAGTGATTAACTTTACAAAACCAGAAGAACCTCTCCTCCAGCCAGTAGATACTGCAAACAAACTTTTTGTCTTTTTCTGGACCATAGGAATAAAGCTAGCAAACAAAATCCTAAACACAAACACTTAGCCAAAAGACTACCTCACTGGTAACTATCCAAATACTGTACGTATTTCTAGCCCCAACAAACCCTGCTGAAATCTCGATCATCAAAACACTAAAGAACAAGACAGGAGACCTAAATAACTTACCACCACTCATGTATAAAAAATTTTCTCATGTGTTGTCACCAATTATTGCAACTCCTTTTAAGAAATCCATTGAATCTTCCACCTTCCCATCCATACCCAAGATAGCAAAGGTTACCCCAATCCTCAAAGGAGATAATCCAACTGAAATGAACACCTATAGGCCTATATCAAACTTGTACCTACTCTCTAAAATCTTCGAAAAATTAATTCACAAACAAGTCTACTCCTGCTTAGTATCCCACAACACACTTAACCCCTATCAGTTTGGATTTAGACTGAAAAAGAGTATTAACGATGCAATTATACATATGCTTGAACTAATATATTCAGTACTCAAAAAAAAAAAAAAAAAAAAAAAAAAAATGAAATTCCCCTGGGACTTGTTCATAGACTTACAAAAAACATTTGATACAACTGATCATACTCTATTGCACCTAAAACTTGAACATTACAGGGTCAGAGGACACTCTCAATTACTTAACCCTTAAACTGTCCAAACATAGATCTATGTTTTTTTCAACATTTGAAAGCATGTAAAAAAACATAGATCTTTTTTTTTTTTTTTTACATATGAAAGCATGTAAAAAAAAATTTGATCTACTTTTTTTTTTTATATTTGAAAATATGTAAAAAAATGTAGATCTACTTTTGGAGCGCTACATATGTGAACGTAGATCTATGTTTGGACAGTTTAAAGGTTAAAATCTTATCTTTGCAATAGAAACCAGTATGTATACACAAATGGCATGAACTCCACTACACAACCTGTTCTTGTTGGAGTCCCAAAGGGTAGTGTCCTTGGCCCACTTCTCTTCCTCATTTACATCAATGACCTCCCAAATACATCTAAACTCTGTAAACCCATTTTATTTGCAGATGACACAACTTATGTCTTCTCTCACCCAAACCCAATTATACTAAGAGACACTGTAAATGATGAACTACTAAAAATATCTACTTGGATGACTACCAAAAACCTACTCTCAATACAGACAAAACCTACTTCATGCTGTTTGGAAATAGAGCTTTGAATGTACAGCTAAACATACTGATAAATGGTTCACCCATTTCAAGACACACAGAGGACAAATTTCTAGGTCTCCACCTTGACTGCAGTCTCAAATTCCAGACCCACATACAGCAAATATCCAAGAGAGTCTCCAAAACAGTAGGCATCCTTTCAAGGATATGGTATTATGTATCCTAAACGGCTCTTCTTGCTCTTTACCAATCTCTCATTTACCCTTACCTCACCTATGGTATTTGTGCATGGGGCTCAACCACAGCAAATCGCCTTAAACCTTTAATAACCTAACAAAAAGCTGCAGTGCAACTGATTACCAACTCCTGCTTTTTAAGAGTCTTAACTTGCTTATTATAAAAAAATCCATACTTATTATTGTGCCTACTACACACACAGAATATTATACCCAAATATTAACCCTCCTCACAAACTAGTCCTTGATAACTACAACAGAACACACAGGCATAAGACAAGGCACACACATCACTATTCAATATCCCTCATGTCCATCTCTCCCTATGCAAAAATGCTATGCACATAAAGGGCCCAAAGATCTGGAATTCATTGCCAGAACACATTAACGGGCTTCTGCCTGCAAATCAATTTAAGGCCCTACTTAGAAATCACCTCATCATTCAAAATTAACCAAACACTATACTTAACACCTACCAGTTACTCAAAAAACTCCTAAATAATTTATGACTGCTCAACTATTTGATCATTTACTTCAAACTTAAAACTGTTACAATTTCATTATTGTATATTGTGTTTGATGATTGCTCAACTATTTAATCATTACCTCAAACTTATAATTGTTTCAACTTCATTGTTTTAAATTGTACTAAATTGTAATACTGTATTTTTTATATACTATATTAAAACTGTAATTCTTCTCTACCAAACTTATTAAGCTATATAGCATGAACTAGCTGAATATTAAATTTTCTTGTATTTATTTTAACTCGCCTAATGACCATATGTACACTTACAGTACTGTTATTGCCTTATTAATCTTAAATTAGTTTTAAGTTTGCCCAAAATGCTCTGCATATAAAGGGGCTTTTGGCAAGTTCATCAAATTGTTTGCACTCCTTTGTACAAAAATTGTTATTGTTATTCAGGATCCAGACCCCAGATCTGAAACTTGTCTACTGGGTCCATATATTTTCAAGAATCTTTTTATTTTTTCTTATGAAATGGTAGAGAATCTTTTTGTGAAGATAATAAAAAAAAATAGGCCAATTTCAAAATAGGGTCCAGAATAAACCATGAAGGCATTCCTGGCACTTAACCCTTTGGGGGTTTCGGATGTACTAGTACGTCTTACGACCCAGGGTTTTTGACGTACTAGTACGCCTAAATTCTAGTGCCCTCAAATCTAGTGAGAGAAAGCTGGTAGGCCTACATATGAAAGAATGGGTCTATGTGGTCAGTGTGCACAGTATAAAAAAATCCTGCAGCACACAGTGCATAATGAGAAAAAAAACTTTGACCGTGTTTTTCGATTAAAACAGCGACTTTGCACTGTATTTTCGTATATTATTTATTGTTATATTCTAGTTTTATTGGTCTCATTTTATAGAATGGAAGACATATTACAGAAATTGAGATGATTTTGACTGGTTTTACAATGAAAAGTACCTTGAAATTGAGCTCAAAGTAGCAGAAATGTTCGATTTTTACCAAAGTTCAAAAGTAAACAAATCATGCCAAGCGTCCAATACACATCAACTGGTGGGTCTAATATTCTTTCACAAGTGCGCTGATATTATTTATAACATTTCTACACTAATGCAGTAGTCTGCATAACAGTAAATCTTATTTTTTTTTGTGAGAATAAAAATTCAAAGTGGAAAGCAAAAGAAATATAAGAGGGGCCTGGGGATGTGACTAACAAACAGAGAACTTGTTATTTTAGTGCCAGGAATGTCTTTCTTGTTTATTCTAGACCTTATTTGGAAATTGGCATCTTTTGAAATTTGTGTGAAATTGGCAAAATTGCTAAATTCTGACCACTTTATTGGATAGTTGAAATCGGTAAATGGGTGGTTTCTTGTACTCATTCGATAGAAAAAATGGAGTTCTAGCGAAATAGTTATGATTTTGTTGACTAGTACACTGGAATTAGCCGAAAATAGGGCACAAAGTGGGCAAAATCGTCGATGCGTAAACATCGTCGAGACCGCTAACTTTGTGAGAGCATAATTCCATAAGTTTTCCATCAAATTTCATACTTTTGGTGTCATTATGATCAGGAAAGATTCTCTATCTTTTCATAAGAAAAAATAATTATTTTTTTTTTTTTTGAAATTTGGCCGACCCTGAGAACAAGTCTCTGAGAGGACCTGTCAACCCCCAAAGGGTTAAATAACATTTCCTCTGTTCATGAGTTATGATCCTAGGCTTTACACATGAATTCCATTTTGAATTTTTAATAACACAAAGAATTTTTATTCACACAAAAAATAGAAGACTTACTGTTATGCATTATGTAATAATTGTATATATATATATCATCTGAACATATGTGTAATCATATTAGACTGACCAACTGACACACATTAGACGAGTTACATGATTTGTTCACTCTGGAATAACGGCAAAAATTTAATATTTCTGCTACTTTGAGCTCAATTTCAAGTTATTTTTAGTCCTCAAAACCAATCAAAATCATCTCTATTTCTGTAATATAAAGCATACTCTTATATTACACAGTAGTTACATTCCTGGAAATGCCATGTTAGGTAAATCCCTACTAGATAAACTGAAGAACTTGTTGGAAAAATAGGGTTATGATCCTGGGAGCCCCAAAAAAGTCAAACAATTTCTTTTTAGATCTCCAGATATTACAAAAATGAAAATGATTATGTAATTGCTGTTCATTTTTGTGATGTATTATGCTGGTTTTATTGCTTAAGACTGTAAATGCAATAAAAATAATAGTATTTCTTGCCTTAAATTGTGGTTGCTGGTGTTTATCGATGATTGTGACGAGAGTAGAGAGTCATGCTGTGGCCCTACTGGGTTGATATGGATGGCTGAGGGTCTGGTACTAAAGTTGATGGTTGTACTGGAGTGTACATAAATTCTGTAATGGATTGCTGGGCTCTTTTACCCCATAGTACATTATACAGCTGATGGTAAGGCATCATCAGCTAGCTGCTCTACTCCTCATTTCAGAGCACTGCTTCTAGATTTGTCAGGGTCCTCTTCAGTGAAAATGTCTAGCTTCAAGTGAGTCAATAAGTCAGACAAGTCAGTCAGAAAGTCAAGTCAATCCAGTCAGTCAGTCAAGTCAGTAAGTCAAATCATTAAGTCAGTAGTCAAGTCAGTCAAATCAGTAAGTCAAGTCAATCAGTCAAGTAAGTCTAAGTCAGTAAAGTTAGTCCAGTCAGTAAGTCAGTCAAGTCAGTAAATAAGTTAAGTCAATTCAGTCAAGTCAGTAAGTCTGTCAAGTCAGTCAATAAGTCAGTTAGTTAACCCTTTCACTGACGAAGCCCCAGATCACAAACTTGCTCTTGGTGGCGAAAAATATTCGAA